ACTCACGTGTGTGTGTGTGTGGGTGTGTGTGTGTGTGTGTGTGTGTGTGTGTGTGTGTGTGTGTGTGTGTGTGTGTGTGTGTGTGTGTGTGTGTGTGAGAGAGCTTCAGGAGGCTTTTTTTTGTTTTGCTCAGAGGTTATATAAGTTATTTAGCCTTGCACCGTAAAATAAATACAAAATAAAACATGTCAGAAAAATGTTTTTGGGAGGAAGCAGCTTCCGGTTTGTTGACTGCATGCTCAGCTGTTACACATTTCCATTATTCAAGATACCCACATTTAAATCAATTTCAATTCAATCCAACCTGCCGCTCAGATAGAGTCAAACATATTTATTTTTGCAGTAAAAGGCCTAAAACAGATGGTAATGAAATAATAATGAAATATTCAACAGTGCAGTTTCTTATTAATGCCAGCGCATGACTTTAGCCTGACTTAAACCAGGTTTTAATTTGAAAAACATCTCTTTACTTCCCTAATTCACTCTTCTTTTCTATTATTGACATTTAATTGGCTTTAATTTGACACATAGCGTTTATGAATGGCTGTTTTGTGAAATACCATCCACATTTCTGCTGCTTCGTTGTCTTTTGTTTCCTCATATTTGATCCTGATTGGGTTTCATTCGGTGTGCTTACTTTAAAAATAACTGAATTATTAATCTAATGCAATCACAAGGTTTTTGATATTTAGCATTTTGTTTTAAATGTCCATTGTAAACTGTCAGAAAATAAAATGGGAATAGGTTCACAAATGTAGACCCAATTATTTGTAATGTTGATAAAGAAAACCTAACGTTACCATCAAATATACTTATTAATATTATTTGATCAGCCAGTATACAGATTTAACTGTAAAATGGCCAGTGTTTGTTATGTGGAATTAAATACTGACTAACCTTTAAAGGGTATTATTTATTAAGGATAAAAAATATCTTTCAGTAAACCCAAAAAAAAATATGATTCTTAAAACCAGAACTTCCAAATAAACATGGCTGTGGTGGAAAAACATCTAGTAGTAAAACCTGGACATTCTGGGCTAAAAAGCAGACTGTTTGTGAAACCTGCTAAATAATGAAAAGATTTACAGGAATAGGTCAAAATAATGCATTATTGGAAATTAAATGTGAAAACAATTTTTCCCGTTTTGAGTTTACAAAACCTAGTTGTCTTTCCTCTGAAACCTCGGTGTCGTTAACACGGTCACATGACACATTGATATCGGTATCTATCGGTATTACTGCAGATTTTACTCCACATCCTTGCATATTTATCACTGCAGTTAAAAACCTCGTATCTCCATTTGTTGTTGTTGTGCATTTTTAGGGACTCGTTTTTCAGCTTGGTGCAACAACAAAAACGAACAAGTTAATTGCTAAAAACAAAAAAATGCATCAGAGTAAATTTAAATAAAGGAATGAAGTTGAGATTAGTTGTCTATTTTCAAAGCCAAGAATGATTTTTCATGCTTGATCAAATTGATTATGATTATTATTATAATTATTATTAATTTACAGCAACAACATACAAAGTTTTGGAGATACGAGTTTTTCACCGGACAGCAGTTGTATGGATGTGTGTGGTTCAGGGCCTCAGGTTTTTTTTTGCAGCAGCTTCCCCAAAAAACTGCAGAATAAAAACACTTCCAGAGGCCTCCATCCTCCACCGGTCACTTTTACAAAGTTTACCCGGAAACAGCAGGTTAGCGGGGCGTTACACCGGCACAGAAGCTGCTCAAATGTATGGTTTTAAGAACAACAATAAGATTGTGTTTGTGCGGCGGGCCTTAGCGCACATGCGCAGGAGCTTTTACGCTCATTCAGGCCTGCACACACACATTAACACACACACACACACACACACACACACACACACACACACACACACACACACTTAACACACACACACACACACACACACACACACACACACACACACACACACACACACACACACACACACACACACACACACACAAACCATAAACTTGTGTTACACCTGCATTGTTTTGCATAATATTGTACATGAAGAGTTCTATTCCAAAAACATTTATATCCATTTATTTAAAGGGGAGGTCAAAATGCAATTTTTAGCACTGAAAGCAGCAGCCAGGATATTTATAGCTTTACTACGGCTCTGCCATGTTGGGAATATTATTCTGGATATCATTATTTTGGAAGGAAACTCTTCACAGAGAGCAGTGTTATTGTTTTTATTGTGATTATTATTATTGTTAGGCCTGTCCGGGGTAAACCTGAGTAGAGATATGATTGTAGGCTTATTTTTTCCTCTCGAAACCCCTGATTGTTTCTGCTGATTTAAGGCTTTATTTACTCATTATTTACCTATATTCAAACGTTTTTTCCCTCATAAAAAGAGAAAAGAAAAACGTTTTGATTGTCTGTTTTTCTCCTTGATTGTCTCAAAATTCATAAATAATTATTATTAACCCTGTATGTCTTATTTCACCCCCCTCCCCATCCCATAATCCTTAATACTGATAAGTATACACTGACGAATAGAATTTAAATACATTGTACAATAAATACAAAACATAAATAAAAGACTCAAAGAAAGTACTGAAAATCTTTGTACAAGATATAAATAGCTTGAATTATTCTTAAAGCGTTTTTGGCAAGTCTAGTTTACAGTTGTACAACCCGCGGGTAACAAAAGTTTGTCCCTTTTTTCAAACAAGAAAATAAAATCATCAAAATAAACCCGATGCTCTTCGGGGCAAAATATGGCCAAAAAAACACTTCATATATATTTTTTGCGATCATTGTTTGATATTTACCACTTATTATTATGCCCTTAACATATTTTGTGCGTCCTCATCCCAGGGTGAGGGGGGGGCGGTCAGTTTAGGAAAGCGTTAGGGGTCACCCTCTTTTGATGGGACAACACCCCGGGGAACCCCGCGGAAACGCCCGGGGAGAAGGAGCTGTTTCTCAGGGAGTCCGAGAGCAGGTGCTGCGGGGAGCTGCTGCTTGTCAGGCCGCCGTACCCCTGCTGGAGGTGCGGAGGGGGCGGTGGTCCTCCTCCGGGCTGCCCTGAGTGTCCGGTCCCTGAGACAAAGTACCCGGCAGTCTGTCCGGAGAGCAGCCCCACCGGAGAAGTGCTCATCCCGTAACTGTTCCCCAGGATGGAGCGCCCCAGGTCCCCGTTACCCAGCTGCTCCACGGCGGGCAGCAGCGACCCGTACCCGCCCGCCTGGTTCAAAAACCCGGGTGAGGATCCGTTGTAGTGCGGGTGGTGGTGGTGGTGATGGTGCAGGGAGAGAAACGGAGAGATCTGCCAGTACAGCGGGTTGTTTGCCCGCTCGTTAATCCCCAAGCCGAGAGGAGCGAAGCGCAGCCCGCGTTTCATCGCCAGTTTCCCCCGGGAGGTGGCGGAGCGCCGACGGAGCTTCCCGGTTGTCCCTCCGATGAAAACGTCATCGCTGCTCGGGTCCAGCATCCAGTAGTTCCCCTTCCCCGGGTCGTCGTAGTGCCTGGGCACCTTCACGAAGCACTTATTTAGACTCAGGTTGTGACGGATGGAGTTCTGCCAGCCCTGCTTGTGCTCCCGGTAGTACGGGAAGTTCTTCATGATGAACTCGTAGATCCCGTTCAGCGTGAGCCGCTTCTCGGGGCTCTGCCGGATGGCCATCATGATCAGGGCGTTATAGCTGAACGGAGGCTTGTCATATTTCCCGTTTTTCACGGTACTATTACCGTTAGTGTTCGGTGTGGTCTTGGCGCCTCCTCCACCTTCCTCCTCCTGGTCCTCCTGCTTGTCCGGCTTCTCGGGGTCCAAAGCCACCTCCAGGGGGTCCAGAGACTTAGAGTCCACCTCCTCCAGAGACTTGTCAGATTCGGAGCCCGGAGAGGGAGAGAAGGTCCCGGGGATTCCCACCACTGCAGCGGCTACGGGGTCCGGTCTGTCGCACTTGGAGGGCAGCAGGAGGCTCTTGATACTGAAGGAGGAGGACCGGTGCACGGTCGGCGGGTCTTTTACATCCTCCATGCCCGGTGACGGGTCCCCCGAAAAACGAGGAATAAATAATATTAATAATAAAAAAAAATAACAACAATAGCAGTCCAAGCTCGTCCACCTCCGTTATCCTGTCTGGAAACGAAAGAGACAGAGAGGAGAGAGAAAGCAGGGTCAGGATGAGAGAGGCATGGATGGAGGAGTGGAGGGAGAGAAGCGAGACAGACAGAGAGAGGGGGGGTGGAGAGAGAGAGAGAGAGAGAGAGAGAGAGAGAGAGAGAGAGAGAGAGAGACACACACAAACACACAGAGAGAGAGAGATACACACACACACACACACACACACACACACACAGAGAGAGAGA